TATATATATATACTTCAAAGAAGACCATCCCCAGAATAATAAATGCGAAATAGTAGGAAACGTTGGCTCCTCTCATGTGCCAGTATAGCAAATTTAAAAGCAACAGTTATCATTTGCAGCGAGTGCAAGCCTTGCTTGAAACTGATTTCAAAAGAAAAGTGCTGCATAGCCTAATTTTCTTCATAGGGTGTTGTTTACAGACAAATTTGCTTAACGTGGTACGTTTTTCGGTAAACGTGAATGGAAATTTATGGAGACTTGTTTGACTTTCTTGATATGTTAATAAAGAAAGAAAATTCGTAGTGTTTCATATTAGGTATTATTTCCTTTACCTTTGGGTTTAAAACGGACGTTCATTAGTAATTCTTTAAAATAAACTGCTCATTTTCAGGTAAATGCAACTGTTTGCTACGCGATAAAGATTAATTGCTGAAAGATGTTTTAAATTTCAGACTAATTGTAGAGATGTTTTTTTTATCAATAATCGTAAGTAGTAAATTGAATGTGATTACTATAATAATCCTGCAGGAGTAAAGTATAATTTGATAATAATTTATTTAGCAAAATAAAAAACCAAACTCGAATGATGGCGTCCGCTGAGGTAAAGCACCCCGGACGTAAACTAGTCCCCCATTTGGATGTCCGGGCGGGGACTACTACTTTAGTGAAAAAATTATTTTGGTAACATCTTCTATGGAACAGATTATATACATTATGATTTTCTTGCAGTATGGCACTGAAGAATTTGCTCACGAATCCCCTCGCTACACCTCCCCGACTGGTCATTCTAATTATTACTTGGGTTCTGAGAGTGCACCAAATCCAACAACAGAGTGGTCTTCATATGGAACATCCTATCAAACATATGATGCTTATAATTTGGCTCCAGAAGCAGAAAGCCAAGGTTTACCGCCTATGTCTTCATTTAGAACTTCAGGAGTTCCTTCTACAACAGCTATAACGACCAATAGTACTACCTTTGTATCTACTACTCATACGGATGGCATCAGTAAAACGCTAGGCGTAAGTACACGTAGCTTTCTAAAACAATGTATTTTTACTATTATAATGTCTTATTGAATTACTTTTAGTTTTAAATGCTGCATATGTGAGCACTTCTTTAAACAACAACGGCCGACAATGGCCTGCTTTCTCTATCTTATGTGTATACCATTTTCCGATTCTTATATATTTTCTGTCCAAATTACACTTGATATGTGCGCTGACTGACATTGATCTTTTTTATTCATATGTGTTTTTTATTAAAACAACAAGCGTTTTATATGTAAATAGTTTTACTAAAAAGAAGAACAGAACGAGGTACAAATATGATCACTTGTTCTAGGGTCTAAGTTATACTAGTAACTTGACTATGACTCACCAGTCACGTGGAAATGAAACAAAAATATTATAACACTAAAGTAACTAAAAGTGACACAAATACATTCATCATCATCATCATCAAAAGGTCATCAGTCCTAAGACTGGTTGGACACGTACCTTCATTCTTTCCTTTCCTTAGCTAAACTTCGCATTTCTCTAAAACTAGAACAGCCCACATCCTTAACTATTTGCAAACAGTAATCTAATCTAGGTCTACCTCTACCCCTCCTAACTCCTGTTTCTGCCTCTAATATGTCTCTGACTAGACTTTCATGCCTAAGAAGGTGTCCTACCAACCTATCTCGCCTATTTTTTATTGACTTCCATAGAGTCCTCTGTTCTCCTATTCTTTCCAATACCTCTTCATTTCTAACCTTTTCTACCCACGATATCCTCATCATCCGCCTATAACACCACATTTCGAACGCTTCTAACCTTTTCTTTTCCGCCGCTCCCACTGTCCATGTTTCGCACCCGTACAACGCCGTGCTCCAAACATACACCTTTAACAACCTTTTTCGAATTTCTAAATTAACCGTTCGCGAGCATAGAAGTGACTTCTTTTTATTAAAGGCGACACGACCCTGCGCTATCCTCTGCTTTATATCCCTACTACTCCTTCCATCCTCACTTATCTGACTTCCTAGGTATCTAAAATCAGCCACTTCTTCTAATTTTTCGTCTCCTATCTTTATATTCGCTCTTTCCCTACTTTTTCTTCCCTTGCATATCAGTATTTTAGTTTTACTTTTATTTATTTTCATACAGTACTGATCTGTCAGTACCGCTTCCATTTTATTTAAAGCTATCTCTAGGTCCTCCTTGCTAGATGCTAATACTGCTATATCATCTGCAAATCTAAGCATACTAATCTTTTGCCCTTGCACATCTATCCCTACAGTTGTACTGTCTTTAATGATGTTGATGGCGTCTTCGATGTATAGATTAAAAAGTAGCGGTGACAGTGTGCATCCCTGCCTGACTCCCTTCCTAATATTTACTTCTCTACGTTGCATCCCCAGCTCTATAACTGCCTGTTGCTCTTTATACAAACTAAGTATCACTCTTCTATCTTTGTAATTCATTCCTACATTTTTAAGTATATTTAACATCTTGTCCTATTTAACATTGTCAAAAGCTTTCTCTAAATCTACAAATCCTATGTACGCAGTCTTTCCTTTTTCTATCGTTTTCTCTATTGCTACCCGTAAAGCTAGAATGGCCTCCGGCGTTCCTCTATTTCTTCTAAACCCAAATTGATCTTCCCCTAGTAGTTCTTCCGCCCTTTTTCCATCCTCCTCTGTACAATTCTAGTTAAGATTTTTGACGCATCGGAAGTTAAGCTAATTGTTCGAAATTTCTCGCACCTATTCGCGCCCCTCTTCTTAGGTAATGTTACTACTACGTTCCGTTTATAATCCTCTGGGATTATACATTACACGCCTTTTTTTTTAATATAAAAAAAATTAAAGCAAAACATTACATTTTAATGTTATTAGTTTTAGACGTCAGTCCTAAGACTGGTTGGACTCTTTCCTATCCTAAGCTAATCTTCGCATTTCCCTAAAACTAGAACATCCCACATCTTTCAGTATTTGCGAACTATTTTGATCTACCTCTACTCCTCTTAAGGGGATTCAGTAGTACTCGCGCCGTAGAGTAAAAACATGCTTATCTATTCTGCATAACATGAGTTTAATATTTGAAATTTTGTAGGAAGATAAACAAAGCTTTGTTCTAGCGCCTGTCAGAGGCCTTTTTTTTAATTTTTCATTTCTATTGGAAATATATGTCCCATAAAATGTATCAACTTTAAGCACCTATAACAACTTTTAATGATCAAGTTATTGAAAACCGCGTCTGTACCGAGGTAGTGTGAACCTTTGTCTGTTATCATACAAAAAATCACAAATTTATCTCGCAGCGTGAAATCACAATGTGCAGAATACAAACCCATGTTTTCCAAAAAATTAGAGCAAAATGTAACCTAGGCACGAGCGGTCTATGCGGCCAGACGAGCAACTACAAGATAACTCCGCCCATCTATCGATCTAGCCGACTGATTTCATACATATATANAGCGCCTGTCAGAGGCCTTTTTTTTAATTTTTCATTTCTATTGGAAATATACGTCCCATAAAATGCATCAACTTTAAGCACCTATAACAACTTTTAATGATCAAATTTTTGAAAACCGCGTCTGTACCGAGGTAGTGTGAACCTTTGTCTGTTACCATACAAAAAATCACATATTTATCTCGCTGCGTTAAATCACAATCTGTAGAATACAAACCCATGTTTTTCAAAAAATTAGAGCAAAATGTAACCTAGGCACGAGCGGTCTATGCGGCCAGACGAGCAACTACAAGATAACTCCGCCCATCTATCGATCTAGCCGACTGATTTCATACATATATACGTGTATAGGTACTGCCCGTGTTACCTGCTCTAATACACTTGGCACTTAATCGAGTTACAAAAAAATATCAATATCCGTGAATTTTCCGTGTCTTTTGTAGTCATAGATAGACAATTACGTTCTTGGAAGAACAGGCCTTCAACTATCGAATGTCCTTAACAAAATTACTTATTTTTTGTTGAATCTACAGAAAATTCACATTAACCAATTAAATGTTTTTTACTGCAAAATAGAATATTTCGAAAACTATGATTTAGATCAAGTTGTGTTTTTTTTATTTGTTTGAATAAAGAAGAGCTAATAATTCCCACAGTATAATCTAAACAACGTCACATATTAACAATGTTTTTAACAATTGAAATATTAACCATTTTTAACGGTTTTTATAAATTACTCAGCAATTACTGATTCAATTCTGAATCATTAAAATCTATTTTGTAGCGAATTTTAACTGCTACAACTTTTACATTTAAATTTTTCTTGTAAAAATTATAGTTTCTAGCTATTAACGGAAAACCTGGTTTCACGTGTTTTTAAATGCAATTTAGCAACAATTTCAACCCTAATTTTTGGATAATTCGCAGATATCCTTCATCTGCACACCTTTCTCAAGACTTTTAGACTAGGAAAATCAAAAACTTGTTAAATAAAAAATTTTTTTGACTTACTTTTATTACGCAACTGTTTTTAATTTTTCTTTTTAAAAAATTATTTAAACACAGCAATTTTTTTGTTATTAATACTGTTTACTAAATAAACAAAG